GTTGGGGTCAACGATTGTCTGCCTAGACGCATTGAAACGTGCTGCACACGGACTTACACTCAAATGGAAAATATTGGTATTTTTAGCTTATGCCTTTGTAACCTTTCCGGCCTCTTGGCTTCATCAATTGGGTTACCAGGGATTTTAGTGATCCAACAGTCTGTACATAAAACGATAATTAAGTTCGGCAGTGAACACATTCAAGTTTTACAACCAAAATAAATTTCACGTTGAAAGATAATAATATTGTGTCGTAGAACGATTCGCGAGAAACAAGATACGCGAGTGCACAGCGTCGAATAAACAGCCTCTTACGCCCCTAAACTACCCTCTATTTGTCTCCGTGGACATCGCCTCTATCGTTGTTCCGTATCGTTTAAATTTTTTCCTTTGTTCCTAGCCACGCGGGGCTCCGTGTCGCCTTATCGCCGCATCTACGGCTCATTTTGTAGCCACTTTCTCACGCCCAGCAGCCCCCACTCGTTCTTTTTCGTATCCTGTGGCTCGTTATCACCGTCCTCGCGCGCGCTCTTCTTTCCGCCATTGTTACACCGATCCGTCTCTGTCCACCGTTTCTGTCCCTCGCCCCCATTCCGTCACCCCCCCGCGCCACGGTGCGCGCACGTCGATTTTCCATACACGCGAAACACGAAACGTCGGAAGGAAACACGGCGAGCATATCGAAGGCAATGTAATCCCGGATGAAATGTTTGTGTAACGGGAAGAGGCACGGTTGATTCGAGTTCCCGGTCGCACAAAGCTGCCTGATAAATGAAATTCCTTTATACCCTTTTCTACGCGACGCTGGACGAGGTAAAGTTTGCGCAAACTTCGTCGCGCGAACACCAGATGCTCGCGAACGGGCCCGAGACGATCGAGCGCCATCTGTCGGCGCTTAACGCGTTATGAGACAATCGCGTTGTTCCGTTGATAATACAGCGTCACGGTGCAATCGACCGAAACCCAATGGCTGATTTGGAGACTGTTCGTAACTCACGCGAGAACGGCTCACGAGTCGTACAGAGAGCGGGTTATTTTCCTTTCAGTTTTATTCAGCGAGAACGAACAGATTAAAACTAATACAGACCGGTTCGAGCTAGAATCAAGTTTGTGTAAATTCTTTTCACGCTCGAACGTTTTTAATTTCAGCTGCATTGTTAATACGGTCGGGGGAAGCCCCGTTTATGAACGAATAAAGCCTTTGTTAGACTGTTTCATAAAATACAGCGAAAACGTTCGAATATTCATCGAAGCGTGGGAATCGATCATCCGGTCTCGCGTTGCTCCTCGAGTTCTGACTTTCCCCTATCCCCATTGTCGTTCGATCGTTCCAGCCACGCGGGAGCCATTGTTTAGACGCGATTCACTCGGATTATCTTCGTCGTGTTAATTAGTTACGCGCGTTAGCCCTCCGTCGAGGTATGCGCATCGCATAAATTCCAATTAGGCTGGCCTATCCCTGAGGGATTACTAGTCCCGCGCGAACTGGATCAAATCACGGCGCAACGTTTTCCAGAAACGCCCGCGTCTGCATTGTTGCTGAACGGGTCTACCCGCCCCAGGGGCCGTGGAACATGGGGGCACTCCGACAACCAAGGGCATTTTGCTAATAATGGTAATAAGGGAGGCCTCGCCGATTGCAATAAACTTTCGAGCGGTTCAGAGTCTCCATCGCTGCATTTGGCTATCCAACTGCTGCAGAACGTCTTGGAATTAAATTATCAGCGAATCGGGATGCCCCGAAATTCTTTCGCGTAGATTTATAAATCTTTCTCGTTACTTAGGGCGCACAACGCGGCGCAATTCGTCTCGATACGACGAATACGATGAATCGCGCTTTCATCCGAGTGGGTGCATAACGCTCGAGAACGTCCCGGCGTCGGTGTGCATCCGTGACGTCGACGTCTACGCCGTCGTCGCCGTAGGACGGTCGCGGAAAGAGGGATGCCACGACGACCCACATTCCGTCGAATTTAATTTCATGCCTTATCTCTGGTAACCACGGTACAATGCTTCAACTGGGGCGGCTGCGAAACCTTCTATCTTCCCCTTGTACGCTCCACATACACACCCGCAACCTGCGCCACCCCGTCACGGTGTCTCCACTCCTATTTGCAAACGCAATTTTTCCCCCGTGATTCCCCCGACGAAATATTCGTTTCTTCCGTTTCGTGCGGGTTATTGCTGGATTACGGATACTACGGATGGAATTCGTTGAAGAGGCGTTCGATCCGCGCACACGATGAATGGAACATGAACGTTCCTTGAGACTGGTAATTAGTTTTTCCAGCAAAATTACTATATTTACCCTTTAACGCAAAGAAAGGGGGGGGGGCAGAGGATCTTGTACCCCCTCTATTTTTAGTCATTCCCAAAAGCACGAATTTTCTTTGTAATTTTTCGTTAATCCAAACTCTTCCACCATATATCTTCCATAATGTACATCCACTGACACAGACGCGTGTAAATTGTCATGTACGTGGAATGTTTAATTTCGTTTCGTGGATGACATGTTCGGATAATAGAACGTTCATTAAGCCGTGTTTGGATGACAGTAGTTCTACGGTATTAATGAAGAAGATGAAAAACATGTACCGACAACCTCGTTTCCTTTAACGCCTGCGTGTAAACAGAGGGTGACAGTTATTTACACGCGCTCATATCCATTTATCCCTCAACGGTCCGCGGTTAATGAACGATGCACACATCGGTGCTTCGTATATGTACCGTCATGCAACATCGTGTACTCCAGGGAGAAAGAAGGATCAATCCTCGGTGGAATCGAAAATCGTATTGGCTTTCGTTGGGCCAGCGACTAATTCAAAATTATTCAACACTGTCCAAACTAGGCTCTTAACCCGGGTTTGATCGTTCTTTCCAACAATAACTTCGATGAAGATTAACAAGGGGCATTGCCCAAATGTTATAGGGATAGTTAGACTGTGTAATAAAGGGGAATAGAGTAATGATTCGTAAAACGAACGTGATTCATAAATTGAACATTTCTGTTCCCGCAATTGCGGGGATCCCCCTTGGAGCCAGTAAAGAGCGAAAGACTTCCTTTCGTCGTTTCCTTCGATAAAAATGGGTACAAGTCCGTGTGCTATTGTCGAAACAAAGTCTGGGATACCGTGGTTCTTGCACGTCCCGAGAAATTCGCGGTATCTCTGCGAGCGACTAGCACGTGAAACGTTTCTTCTTCGTTGGCCCGTTCGGTCAAAAGGCGAAAGAGATACCTGCGCCCGATACGCGCGTAGGCGTATTGAAACGAGCGTGGACACAGCGAGGAAGAGAAGCGAGTAGTTTACGGTGTATGTAGTCCACCGTGTGATAGCGTGTGTTGCCGGAGTTGCGCAGGTACATACGTCCGTTACAAAGCACGTGTACCGGGCTCTTGCACCGGTGTAGGAGGCGGATACGTGGCTGGGAGGTCGATTGTGGCTATTTCTGCGCGTACACGCCGTACGTGTACGCGCGATGGGACACGATCGTTTTATCAGCCACCGACTCGGCAGGTCTCCTCCAACTTTTGCCGGCTGGTTAAAAGCGCGAAAGCGGGACATTTATTTCGGGAAATCGAGCCGTACGATTATTAACTCGCCCGTAATGGGACGCTCGCCGGCAGGAAATTGAAAAATACAGAGGACAGATCCGGCTAGCCTGGGATACGATTCTTTTCATCGTCCATCGAGGAAATGGGAGTTCGCGCGAACGTACACGGTGATTTATACGAAGTGACCGATTGGGTTATTTCCGCAACTTGGAAAGATACAAAATTACTATTCGGACAGAAATATTCTCGCAAGCCACTCGAGGTGCCAAAAGCATCCGATGGGCGACTCCATATTTTTAAACGAAATATCGAAACTTTTTCCGAATAATAAAATCTTTTTGAATTTCGTTCGTTCGATGGAAACAATTTTTGTCTTTTTCGCTGTTTCGAGCGAAGAAAAGAGAAACAAAGTTCTTCTCGTTACAGAGTATTCGCGTACTAGCTCGTAGTTCGCTTCGATTCCTTTTTATCTGCCGCGTCGTTTCCCGCGCAAAAATCCTAACGACGTCGTTCCATCAAACGAGAATTCCTCGAACGAGGAAGACAACTGCTCGCAACGGAGAAACTTTGCCTCGATGTATATTTTCTAAAATTCCTGCGCCCTTCGATATCCGAAGTTACGTTGTCTTAAATATAGAATACCTTCGCGATATAAAGTACGACGTACTGTGGAGGAAACTGCTGCTGGATCAGCAAAAAACCGTGAGGTGTTATACGATGAAATATAGTCGCTTTGTTTGCAAAAAATGCCCGACCTTTTGGTTCCCTCGTGACAAATTCTTTATATTTGTTCATTCTACCACGTTCTACCATTAATGTTTCGAAAATGCACAATTGTTTCCGTACGAAAATATTAAAAATTGTAGGAGTTACAATGAATCCAGCGAAGGTAGTTTTTTATCTGCCTGTTTTACCAACTGATGTTCCCTGTCACGCTTAGTACCACTTGCGCTCACTAGTCGTATACGTTTACTCTTTCTTTCCCGCCGTGACCCTAACCTCCGACAACTTTTCGCCATGATCTTTGGCTTCTGTTACTCTCACTCACTCCTGGAAGGCTGTTCTTCTCTTATATCACCTTTCCCTTAACTTATTCCCCACTTTTTATCCGCAAACCTCAAAATCCAAGCCTCCGTCCATGATAACCCTTGAACCGCAGATGAACTCTCGAACTTTCAAGACCAGTTCCTGACACACACCATTAACCTCTTAAATATTACGTATTACGAATTACGTAAAGATCCCCACGAAACCTGTAACTCTCCTAGCCGGTCGCGGAAGCATCTATCTTCTCGTGTTGAGCCACGCAATCCCCAACGGGCTCTCGTCTCAAACGTCTAAGATACGCTTACCCGGGGATCACAGGATCACATACGAGGCCTTAATTGCCGAGTAAGAAGCAATTAGGGGCTGGCGTCTAATCGGATGACGGTAATCTGTGGCACAGGCTTGCCAACGCACCAGATGGACGAGGCTCGAGGGAGGATAGTAGAACGATAGGAGGCGACCGGTTGCGGCTGCAGCTGCGGCGTCGGTCGCTGCACCTGCAGCTGCAGCTGCGGCGACGGCGACGACGGCGACGCTGCCGGTAGCAGCGGTTTGATCAGACGGCGGAATGATGCAAAGCACCGGCGACTACTATCAGAGGGCGCCGCGATGCTGTCCGGGAAGAAACGCGAACGCGAACGCCGAGGCGCTACGGATCAGCACGTCCGTCAGGGGGGCGGAACTGCTCTGCTGTTGTTGCAGCTGCAGTACCGCCACTTCCACTAAGACGCCGGGGCTGTTGGCCAGCCTGGGTGTCTGTGTCCTCGTGCTTGGCTACACGCTGCTTGGCGCGTTCGCGTTCATGGCCCTGGAAGGCGGCCTCAAGTCGGTGAGTGGACGAAAAGTAGAGTCGGTATATCGAGTTACAGCTGATAATGACTTATTGCTGTTTCAGGATTCAGTGAACGAACTGCTTCCTGGTGGCTCTAAGGCCGAGGGAGGATCGTACGGAGTACCGAACCTCGAGGATGACAACTCAGCCATGGAGCTCAGGGCGCGCACCGTGGAGAGGCTTTGGAGCATCACGGAGGACCTGAACGTGCTGTACAAAGAAAACTGGACACGACTGGCGGCGAGGGAAGTGTTCGAGTTTCAGGAGAACCTGGCGCGCGGCCTCAGACGTACTTCCTCGCAATACGAACCAGTTGGATCGTCGTCCCGATCCAGGGACCACGCGATGGATAGGCGATCGCACCGCCGGTGGACATTCAGCGGTAGTCTGTTGTACTCTTTGACGCTGATCACGACAATCGGTAAAGTTTACAGAACTTTGGTTACCCCATTTACCGATTCTATGCCTTCCAGAGGGCTTGACGACTGTCAGGACCTAGAATTAGCGGAGCTCCGTAAAAGTTTACGTATGTTAGTAATGATAAAAGCAAGCTAGAATTAAGTGACATGATCCTAAATATGCATCCCTGACGTTTGATAGCACTGACTGCAAACTGACTAGTTACCTGGAGACAGTATACGAGGATGATTGTCTTATTGTCTAGACCAAGCCTGCACAAGCTAAGCTCCGGAGCTTACTACTAGGGTGCTTCACCCACTTACACCTCTATCGCTTTGAAGCAAAACTGGTTACAAGTAACCACAGAGATGGGTGGCTAAACAGTGTGGAGGACCACTCTCGTGAGCAGGCCTAGTCTAGACTATAAGTACCCCAGCTCTAGATTCTAATAAAGCTATTAGAATGTCCCGCCCACCTCACTTTTATGAAAAGACCTGGTGTATTAGACTCTCGATCCCTAACTGTAGTCCAAATAAATGGACGTTTCAGGATACGGCAGCGTAGCGCCGCGAACAGTCTGGGGTCGTTTGATCACGATAGTTTACGCACTGGCCGGGATTCCCTTGATGCTGGTCTATTTGAGCACAGTCGGCGACGTTCTCGCGAGGAGCTTCCGCCGTTTGTATGGCCGGCTTTGCAGGCCTCGTAATTGCACGAGAAAGCAACAACCGCCTCCCCCGCCGCCGCCAGTCGGTGGCATCATGAGCAAAACGTACAGATACGATAATCACGTCGATTCTAAATCCGGCAATTACTACACGGCCAGCAGAGAGAGCTCCTGCGACGATCTGGGAACGCGCGGTACCAGCAGTGCGATTCTGCTGGATTGCGGAAGCGAAGGACTGCTGCACGCTACCACCAGCTCTACCGCCGCTCTTCAGGTATCGATACCCTTTAGTGGCATCTAGTTATTAAAGTAAAATACAAAAAGAGATGACGGATTCAAAAGGATAAAGAAACACAGCAACGATTCTTAAAATGAACATCGCTTCAGACCCAATTCTTTTTTTTTTGTACGTGGAATGGCCGGCGGTCCTCCTTGGCCGACTACCCGATATCTCTAAGGCAGAGTCTGTTAGAAAGATTTACTGATGAGTCCGGTGTTGCTGGTTTACAGGATGTGACGTCCGGCAATAGTAAACGCCACTTTCATCCGTGCTCCCTGTCTCTGTCGACGAGCTCGTCGCCCGGTTATGTGGTGGAGACGAACACCGTCAGGATACCGATAAGCCTTTGCCTGGTGATCATGCTGATCTACATATGTGGCGGCGCAGTAATGTTCAATCGACTGGAGGGCTGGAGCCTCCTCGAAGGCGGTTACTTCTGCTTCACGAGCCTCGGAACGATCGGGTTCGGCGACCTGATGCCGGTCGGAAGAAACGCGGCGTCCGCCACGCTGGAGGAGCTCAGCCTGTGCGCCTGCTCGCTCTACATACTCGCCGGGATGGGCTTGATCGCCATGTGCTTCAACCTCGTCCAGGAGGAGGTGGTACGCGTGGTCAGGGTCTTCGGTAGAACCTGCGGCATGTCGTCGGGGGTGGTGGTCGGACCTATCGGTGGTACAGGTATCCCTGATGCAGGCATTCGACGGGGAACCGCTAGATCGTTCCGGGCGAGAAACAGTCTCCCGATTTCGCTTTAGGCCGTGACCATTGACACTTTGAGCCCGGCGATCGCACTCTTGCCATATGACACGGTGACATTGCCAACGCGAAAAAGATATCTCTATAACTGTAAACAGAGATGCACGGAAAGATCTAGTTTAACCAACGTCGGGCTCGAAGGTGTGAAATCTTGGAACAATTCGAGTATCGCATAACACGTTCCCACGAGTCAACAAGAGAGCGGTTCTGATCCAATCGCGTCGGGGATTTCGATCGAGCATCTTGACCACTCTGCATAACCCCTTCTTTAAAAAAAAAAGAATACAAAACAGTTGTCGTGCCACGCGTATAGAAACACCGTGCCGGCAATAATACTGACCCGGGACCGTTTGTTTTCCCCAGCAGGTGCCGGCCCTGGGCTCAAAGGGGACCTCGATGACGGCGGAGGCACCAGCGATTCGCGACTGTCCGAGCAAGAGGACGAAGCAATCGCCATGTCCATGGTGCCAACATCCTGACAGCATCAGGCCAGGAGTCCCGGCGACGGGAAGCTCCTGGCCCATGCGTCCAACACTGCCATAAAACCATCGCCCGGCCATCACTCTCTGCCGCGAAAGAAGACGCCATCCGACGTCAGGAACACCCCGTCGACGCAACAGTTCCAGCGCGCTCAGTCGCTGAGGCGTAGCTGCCTGTCGCCGACCCAGTATCACCATCAGCAGCAGCATCATCCTCATCGTCAGCAAGAGAGCTCGTTGCACTTCGAATACTTCGTGCCGCGCAGCGTCAGCGAGTTCAACCTGGCCGCGGCGGTGGTCACGGACATGGCCGTGCCCCCGCCGCCCCCCTCCACCGTTCTGCGACCTGCCTCGGCGATCACGCCACCGGTCGCCTCGGTCGCGAACCCCGCCCCTCTGAATCAGTCACGCCTCCTGGAGTGCACCAGCACCACCACCAGGAGTCGCGAGAAGATGGTCACCTTTGAGGACGAGGGCGTCAACTGTGCCACGTCCACGCCCACTAGAAAGAACGTTTCCGGCCTCGACAACGTTTTTATGTGACGCTGCGATTACGGTTGAACGCGAGCGCCATTAAACGAACTCTTGGTTTTGCAAGGAGGTTGACCGGGTTTGCCACGAAATTTCGGGACTACGGGGATGATCGGTACGATCGAGAATGTTCTGTTCGCGAAGGGGATCGTTTGCACCGTGTTTGCTCAATGACGAACGAATGCTAGACTACGAATACTGTAAGGAGGAACTGGCTGAGAAGTAGAAACGCTGGTAGGTGTAATGGAACAGCGACTCTTGATTGTATTATAATAGATTCTTCGAGCGTCGACGAGAGGAACGGCCTGCAGAATGATTGATGCACAGTGTGCTCTTTGGAAGAACGAAAAGGAAGAACGCCAAGAGCACGGTCATGTTTTCCAAAGCGATTTTGAGAATGTCTGAGCATAACTTGTGTACAGATCTCCTGATTCGAAGATATTCGAGCCGGGGATCCCCGGTTCTCGAGCGACGGAATGCCCGCCGAACGAAAGACACTAAATTTCTATCGTTTAAATTATAACAACCGTTACTGTAACACTAATTAATATTCTTATCGCTGCTGATACTCTTGTTCTTACCATTATCGTTGCTAGGTTACATAACTGTCCGCGAAACTGCGACTTCGCTGGCGAACGTACTTTGTACGACGCGCGACGCGTCACACTTCCACGAACTATCAACATACGAGATAACGCCGCCTCTTCTACCCTCTAGTATCTTTCTTCTGAAACCTGATGGTACGCTTGGCGGAAGAAATACGGCGAAGTTGTAGAATTTGAGGTCTCGGGGAAGAACCCTGCATACTTTTTAGACTTTGGCACGTAATGGTGTAAGCGTTGCAGGGTGGGAGGCGAAAAACACATTTTACGCTTTCTATCTTTAAGATTATCGTTTTCCGTGCCACTCGAGTATGTCCCTTGCACCTCGCTGTATCCCTTCCACCAAGAATGTGCCCAGTGGAGCGTAATTTGCAGTAAAATAGGAGAAGGATAATTGTATCGAGGTTGGTCCTTGAGAAAATCCAAAGCAACTTTGTCATTTCCAAACTCGATTGGCTGCTGAAGACGATAGGGCAGCCCCTCCTACTACCCATGGCTCCGCCTCTCGGTCCTTAGCCACGCCCCTCGGTTTTAGCCCCGCCCCATTTGGTTTCTCCCCCAAGCTCTATTTGAAAAACGAAGAGCAGCCAATCGATTTTGCTGTAACAATGTAACGTTGCGAAAACGTAGTTTTCTTCGCATTTTCAACTAATTTCTGTACCATAGAATCGTCCCTCCGCCATTCTGCGAATTAGGCGCCACTCTGTATTTTCGTAAAGTAAAAGACTTTTTTAAAGACTGCACGCTTACAAAGAACCCACGGATTCGTGTATACAGGGTGTTGAATGATTAATTCAACGATTGTTCTTTTCGAAATTACGATACTTAAGAGGCGGTGTAAGAGGAACAGAAAGACAGAGCCTTAAAAAGCGCCTCACAGGCGGTTCAATTAATATTGTTACAAAAAGACAGATAATATAAAGTATAGAAAGAAAAAAAAAAAAAAGACGTGCACATCCACGAAACAGTCTGTCCTAGCGTAACTTTTAAGGAACTCGTTTAACCGAACGTTGGAAACCGCTTAATTTTAATACAAACGGATAAGCAAGTGTACGAATAAAGTATGTGTAAGCTCATCGAGAGTGGTTTGCACGGTGAAATCATACGTACCATCGAATTGAATATTAAACGAAGGTTTCAGTATCATAATGGACCAAGTCCAAAACGACATTGATTCACGTGAGACCGAAGTTATTCGATCGTCACGGTGGATCGAGGCTCAACGTGTGTTCATCAACGCTGTTTATATATACATACGTGTCTCTTTCTCGATTAAAATCGATTTTCATTAAAGCAGACTAAGTGAAACCAAACAATCCCAACGGACTTGGTTCTTTATAATTTTGAACCCTCGAAACGTGTACGAGTTTATCGTGGTTGTAGTCGGAACAAATTCAATTGCACTTTCCACCTCTTAAACAGAAAGTTTGTGCCGGGGGCGGAGCAGAGTCCAGAGGCGGGACCGGGGGGCGGAGCAACTGGACAGCATGCTGGGGGTTGGCTACTCGGTGACTTTCGGTGGTCAATTAATTTCGTTCCGACTGTACGAAAACTGTATCACGTTAATGCCGGGAGCCAAGTATAATAAAACGAAATTTCTTTCTTTCTTTTTGCATCGCGCGCGAGAAAGAAATACACGTAACCCATTTATATCGGATCTAATTCGTTTCTCCGTTCTACGCTTTCGTTTTAATTATCAAATTTTATTTTTCGACGTACTCGATTAACTGTCACGTGAACTGACAAGAAGCCGGACCGTGGACTTCTGGAACGTTGCATTGTGAAATCTAAAGGTAGGAAGTGTTTGAATTTTGCACCGAACTTTAAACCAGTTATTTTCCCTTACATCATTTTTTTAAGCTTTTTTAAATAAATGCATTTGTTTGATATTTTTTAACAAAACGAGTGATATCAAAACTTTATTCACGGTATTTCCGATCGTTCCATCAACGAGGTATGATTAACAATTTTCGACGTTATTCGTCATCTTCTTCGCAGTAATCCCATTCCTCTTCCTTGCAATTCGGCCTAAGCGGTTGTGAAGCTAAACTTTCGTCCTCGTGAATGGAAGTAGCATTGTGTTGAGAAGTAAGATTATAAAAGAACCCTAATCAAATATCAAACGGAATTTTATTTATGTATATTCATTCAGTAACCGGGGGGCCCACGTCACGCTGAACCGATAGAAAATTCTTGAAAGAAATATTTCAGCCAACCTTTAATTCTACTCAATATATCTGGTCCCTGCTCCTTCTCGGTATCCTCATCAGATTCATCGTCAGATTTTTGTTGTATATTTTGATAAATGGTACATCCGATATCCATCGTATGATTGATTATGAACTGAACGGTACAAAAAACCATAACGAGTAATATCGGCAGGCATAAAGTAGTTTCTACGTCATCCAGGAAAAGATCCAACCACTCCGGTAGGAAGTCGTGGCTCATTTTCGATTGGAAACGCTTTGATTAGCCAGCTTCTGGGAAAGTGTCCAACCTAACCCTACAATGTTTAGTCGTTTCTCTTTCCTAAACGCGAATTATATTATTTTTATGCCGATCGTTATCAAAACGGACCGGTTTTCAAGACAATCTCGTGATACACATCCTTGTTAATTTAGCCAAAGAAAGAAACTATTGCCGAATCACACTTGGGAGCCCGTTTACAGCGTAAAATCGTTTCAAAATGTTTCATAAAATCGACTATCGATATGTAATACCAGAGATTCCAGACGGAGCACCGGGGACACCTCATTCCACTTTCTCGCACTGTTAGATCACGCGAGAAGGCAAATGTGAGCTTTCCTCTCTCGACTCCCACGAGATGGCCCGAAGTTACTTCGGGCAGCTTCGGAGAATCGAAAAGAAGGGCATGTATCAGTTTGTCTTTGTCGACTCTTCGAAACTCCACGAGCTTACGCGTGATCTGGCATGTGTGAGTAGGGCACCGTCGGTCTATGGTTGCACGCTCGGAAGAGGTTAGAATTTAACTTTGTTTATAGTTATTAGTTAACGAGACTATATTACTTGTACATAATACGATCGAATGGCTTAAATTTAAGATAAACTTAGTGTTAGAAAATCTCAAATCTATCCAACAACGATAAAATGTCTACTCGTTGGTAAGTACTTATCTTACGAAATAACAATTTAATATTCACGTTCTCTCGAGTACGAAAGAAACATGTATCGAAACAATTTATTACGATTAACAACTCTTTGATAATCCATCCGTGTAAACGTAATTTATCTTTCAGGTATCCTTTGTACCAAAAAGGTAACCCGCAGCGTCGAGTGTTCCTTCCGAATTTTTGGTTAAAAATGGTCAAACCCGTGCATAAACAACCGAAAAATGTAGTGCAGTTTCATTGTTCGATGGAAATGACAAAGTTCGATGTGAGGAATTATTTAGAAAAGATTTACGGCGTATATCCTGCTGAAATTAGAACGAGGATTGCTTTTGGAAGTACGAGGCGAGAGCCACATAAATTCTACATTATTAAAGACGAAGACGTAAAAATTGCTTATGTCGTTTTGGTAAATGTTTAATACAAATAATGTTAATACTAAATAATTTATAGGAACTGGATCCTATCTGGCATTTAATACATATATTGTAGAGTAACATATTATTTGTAATTGCAGCCTAAAAACCAAGAATTCGAATACCCTGAGCTGTTTACAAAATCAGATGCCCCTATGGAAAAAGAGGAGAATTTAGAGGAAATTAAGAAGGAATACGGAAAAATGTTTAAACCGAACAAAATGCCAGGCTTTCCCTCTTGGTTTAGAATACAATAAATTTGCTTGTGTATGTTACAACAAGAAATAAAATTTATTCAATTCGTATTTCATAGATACATTTATGTCTGTTAACGTAAATTGAATACTGGTATGTAATAATGATATAAAAAATATAATTCTTAAGTGTAAAAATAGTAAATTAATTTGCCACATGAAATTTACATCATGTGCGTAATACTATCAGATATATATTTAATAAAAATATTAGGCTATATCGGATATATTAATCTTCTGGTTTAACTTGGTTTAAAACTCAGTCAACATAAAGCCATAGGATTTGCACTGAGGGCATTGTGCTATGTCAAACAAAAAGATCGTCTGAAACAAGGAAAAAAACAAATTGCTAAGACTGAACAGAAATAAAATAAAAGATCGAGATTTAATTAAAGAGAAAGTAAATACTTTATCCCAATTTTTGGTTTATTTAAGATCGATCGTTGAAACAAACCTGTGGATGAATGGGGCAGAAATAACGTACTCTACCCTTTGTCCAATAACCACAAACATTGCATAGCACATAACAATGAGGTCTATTACATAGACATTTATTAGGGGTTAAATTACTCATAGCTATTCCCCTTCCTCTAGCTGATCTCACTGACTCCGTCTTTCCACATATAGCATTGAGATACATTTTTCACTATGTGCTCCTAATCAAATTCGATATCTATTATTTGATACTTGCTCCGAACCCATTACTTAGCGAACGATGTACAAATTATAGAAAACGATTATTCGCGAAACATTAAATTTCAATTACTTTTGTGTCTGTTGAGAAATTCTGTTTGAGGCACTGGCAATCAGAGCATATAAAAATTTATTTCAATTTGCCAGACACTTTCTAGCATACATACACCAGTTCGTATACGTATCCGTTAACGAACTATACGCATTTCGAATTGTAAATTCATGGCGCAAATTCCTACGCGCGAACGTGATTCACTCTGTTGATATTAGCAACCGTTTTGGTACACTCGAGCAACGTTCAATTTCCGGTGTTCGCGAACAATGCTAGCTTTTTTACGATTGATAATTAACGCGAAATTCGTATCGTTTCGATAAAAGGACATACGTTGGCAGCACGCAGAACACGTTTGTTCTGTTTGACTTATTCATAATGGTTGCGTAGGGATCTACACTTACGCTTCTACAACACGATTTTGTTGCGAAACACATTCGTCTTTTGTTTACGGAAAGGGGCAACACGAGCCGCATAATAGAAAATTAATTTGACATCGAAATACATCGACGACAATCTACTTACTGGAATTTATTTGTCCGTAATTTTCGAATCCTTCGATCGGATCTTAATTATTTCGTTCCAAACTTTCTGTATCTTTTACACGTGAATACGCGTACCACGTGCGACGTAGACTTCACAAAAGAACGAACACTGCATATACTACTCTTTGGCAATAAGTTTCAATGAGACAGTTTAATATTTAAAGAATAACAAAACGCGAAATGATCGAGGATGAAACAACTTCAACGTGTCAGAGTACAATTATTGTTCGGGTAAAATAATTGCGTGAAACGTCTTCCCTGTCGGTGGATTGGCGGGTTTCTGGCACGTGAATCTCTCTGTTTACATGTGGTGTGTTCATCGAACATAACCTCATATTATTTTGTAAACACGTAGAGGTTAATGTTTGACAAACACGCTTTCGTGTGTACCTACAATTGCTTGCAACAAATAGTAAAGATAACGTAAATATTAAACTATCATCGAACAATGAAAAATTTGACGATCACTCGACGTAGCAGTAGATCCTTAAAATTTTTAGAGAATAAAATTTTAAATGATTCAACAATATTGTACACTGTCGATACAACTAATGATGATTTTTACTTCTTATTAAAAAATAAAATATACAAACTGCCGTCCGACTATGAGAAAGATATAATTTCGTTCGATATAGAATTAGAGTTAGAGTTTATTAGTTTAGAATATTGTAGCATATTGCAAGAATTATACGGTGCTTGTAAATCTGGTGATATTGTGAGAATTAATGTAGGATCTGAATTAGAGTGCGAAATAATAAGTCGACTGAATGTAAATTTGCAATGTATGAAGCTAAGCCCAGACCATGAAATAATAATAGTAATTACAGCTGATGGTATTGTAATTACGATGGTATCTACTTTTCAAATAATATCGGAGGTAATAATGCATTCGATTGCCTTATCAAATGTATGGTATCTAACAATACACAAGAGTTTATGATTACTCGATGTTTGTAAAGTTAAATCAAAATGAATAAATATTTTAGGTAGATCTGCATGCTTTAGATTTTGGTCAAAAACAATTTGAAACTGTTGGATGGGGTAAAAAGGAAACTCAGTTTCATGGATCGGAAGGAAAGAAAGCAGCAGTAACAAAACCAACAGAAATCAGTAAAAATGAATCGGATGATGGGTTATATAGAGTAACTTGGCGCGAAGATGGTTCGTTATTCGCTGTTGGTTTCTTGAACCAAAGAAATGGAATACGGCAGTTTAAAGTATTTAATAGAGAAGGTGTTTTGCAATACACAAGCGAGCTTGCTAATGGTTTACAAGAATCACTATCATGGAAACCATCTGGAAGTTTAATTGCAACAACGCAACAATCGCTTAACAAGCATGTTGTTGCACTTTTTGAGAAGAATGGCTTAAAGCACAGAGAATTTGCACTTCCTTTTAAACAGGGAGAAATTAGGGTATGCATAAATATTTTTTTTAATTACTATATTCAATTTGTGCAAAGCTCTTATTATTTGGAAACTTGCGTTACAGGTGAAGAATTTATTTTGGTCGCTAGATTCAGAAGTTTTATCCGTTTGGTGTCAAGCGCAAGATGATTCTTCGATTTTGCAACTATGGACAGAAAATAATTATCACTGGTACTTAAAACAAACGATCAAATTCACTACGGATAATTCATTGATGTGCGCAACATGGAGCACAACGTTCTTTTGTAATAAATTAATTCTTTTAACGCGCAAAGAATTTATCACTTGCAATTATAATTGGCGCGTTGATCATAGCAGAGGCAAAAGTGAACGCGATAAATCTGTCATTGGAATAATCGATGGAAATCATTTGTTAATGACTGGTCTTAGAATAGGAATTGTACCACCGCCGATGGCGCATCAAACTTTAAAAACTTCTGAATGTATAAATGCTATTGTCTTTGCACCAGATATAACAAGCGAAGATTCGTGGATAGACAGTAACGCATTATTTTGTGTTTCCGACACCAACAAATTAATATTCTATAAACATGCACTTGTAAGTATAAGTTAATTAATATTCACTAGGGGCGAAAATATTTGAGATTCGAAAATTTCGACGATCCGAATTCCATTGCGTTCTTCAAAAAATATTGAAAACCATTGTTCTATAATCCTAATGTTCAGGGGATATTTGCGAAAGCAATAATATATGAGAAAATTGATATTTGAACTTTTGCAAGCACACAAGAAAACTTAATAATACATTTAAACAATTAGGATTCGTTTATGCTGGAGTACAAATACGTTGGATCATACGATATTAAATGGACTGTTCCAATAGAATTTGAAGATTCTGTACATAACATGCACCATTTCCTTTGGCTTAATGATAATAATGTTTTGTGTTCATTATCAACGACCAACCATAGTTTCCTTTGCGTCTTGACTTTAGATGCGATAAATGACGAAACTCAAGGTCAAGTAACAGTAGAGTGAGTCAATGTTCACAATAATATTAAGCTTGAGAAAAACGTAACGTTCATAGGATGGTTACAGATATTCTTATATTTTATTTATAGACAAATGCACATTACGGATGGTTTAATTCAACACATTGTTCCTTCTCCGGACGCAAAAGAAGCTTATCTGGTAGTAGAAAACTCCGTGGTTAAATATACAAGGGAGGGAGAATTAATTCCAATTAATATACAATTACCAGAATACACTTACAAAGTGGAAATTGTGAAGATAGCTACGAAACATGTTATACTATCACTATCTTACAGATATTCCTTTTCAATAAACGGGAAACAGATCGCTAATAATGTTACAAGCTTTTTTGTTCATTCAGAATTTTTGCTTCTTACAACTTTACAACATACGTTAATATGTGTCCACGTAAATGAGGAACGCTTCGAGGAATTAGGCAAGCAAGACTTAACTGTCAAGCCATGGGAAAATTCTCCCCATGAAAAATCGTTCACGGGTTAGGTCCATTTACAGTTTAAAGTTTATAACAGAAATTGAAAATAATTATGGGGAACAATCATTCAGAATTTCAATTGATATTTTCAGATCTAAATGTGAGACGAATAGAAAGAGGATCTCAATTGATCGCAGCGATCCCGAAGGATTCAAAAACTATTCTACAAATGCCTCGCGGAAACTTGGAATGCATACAACCGAGAGCTCTATCCTTGTACATTATTGGCTTTTATTTAGATAACTGCAATTATCTTCTTGCTTTCGATTTAATGCGCAGACAACGAATAAACTTGAATTTGATTTACGATTACGATCCAAAGAAATTTGTCGAAAACGCTGTTAAATTCATCGAACAAGTTTCAAAACCGAGCTGGTTAAGTTTATTATTGTCCGAGTTATCGGACGAAGACGTTACTGCAACAATATATGCGAATTATTATCGAAGGGATAACAAAAAATCAGATACCGTCGCGATGAATAAAGTAGAATTAGTTTGCAATTTATTGCGAAATATTATGGAGAAAAGCAACAATGCTGATCATTTGATCCAACCAATATTAATCAGCCTAGTTAAAGATAAAAGAACGCAAGGCCTAGAGGGAGCGCTAACTAAATTAAAAGAAATCCGAAAACTCGAGGACTCTAAAGGAAACGTAGACTGCATAACGTCGGACGAAGCGTTAAAATATTTATTGTACATAGTGGATATAAATGTGTTGTTCGATACAGCGTTAGGAATGTACGATTTCGATTTGACGATGTTTATCGCATCCAAGTCGCAGAAGGATCCTAAAGAATACATTCCGTTTCTAAATAATTTGATAAAACTCGATGAAAATTATATGAAGTATTCCATCGATTTGCACTTGAAGCGTTACGAATCTGCGCTTGAGCATATAGCTAAGGACGCGAACAGATTCAACGAATGTATAAATCTGATACGCGATCACGATCTGTACGTGAAAGCTATGAAATTATTTGAAAAGAATAGCGAACAATACAAAGAAGTAACAAGAATTTACGGAGAGTTCTTAATGAAAAAGAGGCATTATCAAGAAGCTGGAATTATCTTTCACAGGAGTGGCGATTTAAAACATGCTTTGGACGCTTACAAATTAATTGGCAATTGGCAAGAAGTTGTCATCTTGTCCACTCAAATGAAATTAAGGTTAGCAAAAAATATAAAAATGTAATCTATGTAAATATAACTATAAACGAATTAAACAATGTTTTAGTGTAGAGGAGAAGCATGCGCTTTACAAGGACCTTGTAGAACGATTAAAGAACGATAAACGATACGAGGAAGCCGCGTGTATTTTAACGAATTACTTACAAAACACGGACGAAGCATTGGTTTCTTTATGCAATGGAAAACGATGGAAGGATGCTGTAAGAATTGCACACGATACAGGATGTATAGAATTGATCGGTACATTTTTTCGTTATAACAGTTAGTTAGACAATCCGCGCAACATTCTGTTATTATTGACTTCGTTAATGAAATAAAACTACAGTGGCAGTTGCATGAGTACACCGTTATGTTTCAGAGTCACGCGTAAAATTAAGCGTGTATGAATACGCTGATCACGTAATGTTTCAAATACAAAAGAATAAGCAAGATTTTGAGCAATATAAATCGCGTCTCGCCGCAGTCAGAGCACATATTTCGCAGAGAAATGCAAAGTCGTTTAATGGAGTATTTTGTGATAACGAATCAATATACGATAGAGGTATTTCGGACATTTTCAGCGATACGAGTAGTGTTACTAACTCAACAGTGAGTCAAAAATCGAGATTTTCCAGTATATCTGGGTAAGTACAGTATCGATTGACGAACGCTGGAAGATCGATAAAATCGGTTCGATATAACAATTACACGTTATATCGGTGACGTGTTAAAATCTACCTTTATTTTACTCGTTATTTGTATTAATATGAATATGAACAAAATTATTTTCAGAAAAAGTTACAGATCGGGCAAGAATCGTAGAAAACACGAAAGGAAACTTTTAAGTTTAAAGGAAGGCAGTGCATTCGAAGATTTAGCATTGATACAAGCTTTACATCAAGTAATCAGTAACACATATAAAGAAATGGGTTTGTATATTAATCTATGATTAGTTACACGGAGAAGCTAAATATTGTTAGAAAACGAATAATGATAATTCCTATTTTAAGACGATTTACACGCATGTGTACAAATGCTTGTATATTTTGACGATGATGATTGTGCAGAGAGATTGCAAAATTTTATGCAACAGTTTCTCCTTTTAATACAAAAGAGTAAATCTGAAATTTGGGATAAATCCGCGCCTTCGAGCTTAAATGAAATGGTACATAATACACAATGATCGTTATTAATTTAATCGATGGTATTCTATATTATGCATTTATATTCTAGGAGAATGCTGAACTTACAATGTCGACGGAATTTCCAGGATTGTCTGCAACTCAAAAATTAATCGGTAAGTTAAGGATAAACTAAAAATATAACAATTCTGCTTTATTCAATTACTTTGTAGAACCTTACGTTACGCGTCCACCGACGGCTATTTCCTCGCCCAGGAAACTGAATATATTTTAATACTTAAACACAATGAATACCTTGTAAAATATATTTCTGGAATCATCTTGTAATTTCTCTACCTCTTAGAAATATAGTTGCATTATATATTTATTTAGTAGACATTTTTATATAGACCTCTTCTACACAACTAACAGTTACAACATCGGTAAATATATTGAAACTATTATTAGGATTCGTAACAATTTTTTTGCGAGACTGTTTGCAAATACATGCTAGGATTCCATTATAAAACAACAAGTACGTCAATATACAGTCAAAGAGTAAAAATATTATAGCATAATATTCTAACTCGTATAAATGATGTATCTGACCGCGGAAACGTTATTACAGTTTATTTTCCACTAGAATTTTTTTACATAAATTTTATACAATTTTTACGTTCCAAGAGTACAGATCAACTGGTAAAACACCAGAAATGAATAGTATGTTCATTGTTATATAGTATTTGTGAAAATATTGATATCAAAGTATAAATTAATATCGGCTGGAATACTCGCGTATTTTCATATATTAACATTAAAACTATCTATAGAGCTAATATCAAAATAAAAATGTATTTATAATTATGAATAATATTTTAATACAAAAGATGATTGGCGATTTTAAATTAAATAAAAATTCGGCAAAATGTTAAGTAAATATCTCGAAGAATATTTAAAAATTGTTGAACTTTTAATTTATTTCGCGATGGCAGATTTAAACCTAATCAAAACAGATATTAACTTGTTAAATAATAAAAATATCATGTTACTATTTTTTTGTAATTAATAGTCATGCTGGAAAACATAACTCCTAACGATCATGGTAATATATATATTGTTAGTTATTTTATCTTTAAATTATGTTTTTTTAATATTTAGATTTTTAATCATTTTGCCGAACTTTGACTAAATTTAAACCGAGATTCATCGGTAAACGTTGCTAGTTAATTATACTATAATAATCCAAAAAATAAATTCATCAGTACAATTTGACTATACTCTCATGCTTATTTCGTTCCTATGCAAGAAAACTTTTGTATACAAATAGTCTAAACTCCGCAAGTACGTGTAAGAATATTCGAATTAAGCTATATTACACGAAATTACTTATTGAAGTGTTTCTCTTTTACAAACTTCGTACAACCCCATATTATTAACTAAATGATCATCCCATTTTTAATAGGAGCGATATTTTCAAGGCAAACGTATCAACGCGTAGGATCATAAACGAGACTATCGTTCACAAATTTTGAATTTAGTCTGAGAGATAACCTTTCTTCTTTATTACATAATTTTATTTTATGTATGTCTCGTAAATAAAGAAGAATGGTAAATTAATCAGTTAATTTTGTTTATGGTGAATCGTTTCACATGATGATGATACATTGTTCCTTTATTTACAAATTATTTACTCCAATAAATTTTTTAGTAAAATTCGTTACCAAAAATAATTTTCGTTAATTTCAATCGCATATCTTCTTATACGATTGCTATATAAAGTAAAGGATGAATGAAGATAGTCTCGTGTCTCTCATTTTTTTCGCCGCTGTTTATTTCGTATGTTTTTCCGTTGGAAAATGGGTCACCTACCCTATTTATGCTGAAATTTATTTTTTTTTTTTTCAACATAATATTGATCCAAAATAAACATCTTATTGTACATTTACCACTTAATACAAATGTTATACCGCTTCCTTATTTGTTGTAGCTATGGAAAGCAGAATCGGTGATCTAAATTCAGGACGAGTACTAATTTTCATGTATTTCGATTGAACGTACTTCTTCCTTACGGCTTGATATTTGCTCTCATCCACGTTAATTATAATACGTGCTATTTCCCGAACTACGGGTAATACATCGTCCCTAGAATAGGTACTATAATGCGCCAATGTACTTGTCCAGACAACTTTTTCCTTGTCATCATCGTTACCAATAATTCTATGTAATTAAACGCCAAAATGGCAAAAAATGGCAAGTTAGTGGTATTCATAATTAATGGAATTTCTGATAATGTTTATGTATAAACATAATACATTTAAGATTGGGTAACTTACATAAATGCTAAATATATTGCTGCAGCTGCAAGCAAGCTTGGTGGGTAGTGACACATTTCATAATGGACCAAACAGTGCTCTAGGAAACATTTAGCTGTTGTATGATGTACAGAGAGTGCCTTATTATAAATAAGCAATTTATTAGACGAAAGATGCTATGTGTTCGTGAATTATTGGACAATGAAAATTTGTAATACCTACCTTCCCAGCTTTGCTATACCTTCTGAGGAAATGCAACGGTAATGGCCGACCGAAAGAATAATCTAGCGTTTTTACAATAAGCATTTCCATTTGTAATATTTCTACCTTTGAATATGCATTATCTGTGATGTACACATAGTCTTTTATGTCTGGGGAATACATTTCTTCATATTTGCCAGCAATAAACATAGCTGTTACCCCAACTAATTGCAGCCTCTTTTTGTCTATCGCACGAAAAGTCTATAAACAAAAGTTGTAACTTATTTTTTTGGAGAGCAACCGATTATGTAAATTGAAATTTCATTTATGCATTCATTTGAAAAGTTAAATTTCGCCCGTTCTATAGCTGTGCTGGTGTATGCTCTGAATTATATTTAATGACAAACCTGTAAAAATCGATCGATAATAGCAACAGTGAGATATAATGTTTCTTGCATTAAATGAAATTGTTGGTGAACTTCAACCAGCCAGTCTATAAGTACACTTCTCATTTTCGATGTGACCTCTTGACCCGCTAGGTATCCTTTAGTGATAGGGAACTTACTTTCTAAATTTCTTAAGTATTCGTATATGTCATTGCTATAAATAGAAACTAGACTAGGATTTTCCTTATCGTCTTCGTCGATATCTTCAAATGCCAATAAATCCGTGGAGAAAGACTCTATCTCTTTTTTTTGAGGGAGCAGCTTAGTGGGATTGTGTTCTGGAGAAACTACAGTCTTTTGAACAGGTTTTACTATCTGTACCGGTGTCTTCTCAGATACTTTCTCCACTGGCTTAAGATTTTGTTTCGTTGGCGCTAATACCATTTTCTTATTTTTTTGTAACAAACTTGTCCTATCAACGATTTCTATGCCCCGTATTGTATTCACTTTGTTACCTATTTCGCCTAAAGCAGCCCTTCTATTTTTTCCTGGTAATGCAGTGACCGAAGGCTTTGTGTTTTTGACATTTTCCTGATTTACAATGTGCTGAAAATTTATTTTTAGAATACTTATTATACTATGGTTTTTTTGTTATATAAATATAAAAATCTATAAAAATTCTCTTTCACAAATCAGAGCATATTGATCGATACTAATTTTCAAATTTTTTCATTTTGAAGCTGTACACTATATATAATATAAAGAGGACACAATAAAGGTAATAATATGAAGATATCTGTACATATACATACATGCAACATATATATATAATTTTTACTTTTCAAGTATTAGCTAACTATGAAAAGTAATATTTCCATGTAACTTATACATATGCATATACATGCATTAAACGCAAATGTATATTTAGTTATTTAATTATTATATATTATTTATTAATTTAATATATTAACTATTAAGTTACGTAATAATCGGTGAACAACTAATTCGTTCGAATTAGACAAACGATTCAAAGTATAACTCCCCAAGAAACGTGATTGTATGAGCAATGAAATACGTTATATTAAAAAAGGTACACAAGTACCGCCAAAATGTTTATCGATGTATTCCCTTTTAGATTCGAACAATTTACGAATAATTACTTTTCCGATGTAGACAAAGTTATTAGAAAGGGCAATGAAGTATTACGAAAAAAAAATTCCAAATAAAATGTCGCTTTTACAAAACCGAAAGTACGTTAGCGACAGAAATGAATTAGAAAAATAGAAATTCTGATTTCCTGAATAATCTTAATAAATGGGAAGGATCAAGAATTGTAGAAAACAGATTAAAATGCACAGAAGAAAAGAGGATGAACCGTTATAGTTGTTGTTTCAATAGGCTTTAAAACGAGAAAAGGGCATTTAAAGATGTCTGGAACGGACGGTTACCCTATTCTATTGACCTCCCCCAACCATGTTCTACACTAATGATCAAGCACGATTATTTCATAAAATTTTCGACTTACTGCAACCGCTGTCCGATTTCTTAGTGCCATTATTAGTCCAGTTGAGAATGGATATCATGCAAAATCAAAAATTCGTCTTCTAAAATAGCTGCTTTCACGGTTTGCCAAACAACGTTCACCTTGTAGTAACGACTTCGTCGGTTTGAATTTGTTTAGCCGATTAAACGGAAGTTCACCCTGGACGGATGTGAGCGCAGAGAAGAAAGACCGCGAAAATCGAAACGTTTGATTGGTCGGTGAAACGTAAGACTACACAAAATTTGCCTTTCAAATAATAAACACAATTTTTTTATTTTTATGTTCAATCCATTTAAATCGACGTAAAGTATAACCGTATTTATTATTAGATTTCTTAAATAATATTCGAAAGTAGATACTACTTTGTATATACGTTGTAACGAAAATAGAACTATTATATTATGTACATTAATTTTCTTTAAAATAAATACGCGAATATTGTTTGAAATAAAAATATTTGAAATACTATTTATACAGCGGACGTTAAAATAAATAGAAATAAAATAATATTTCTAATATAACGTAAAAACATTAAATATGCTTGTTTCATGATAAATCAGCTGATTGTTCTGATTGATATATTTTGTTAATGACACTTAGCTACGTGCTTATTTACGATCTTCTACAATTGGTTTTATATTATGTTACGTGATTTACGTACGTAATTTATATTCACGTTTATTTAAATAATAATAATTAAATCTATCGAATTAAATAAGTACACTGTAGATAATAAACTTCTCCGACAAATGTCATCGTTGGTAAACGTCAAAAATTGTTCACGTATTTATTAATTGATAAACAACAAGTAATTTAAAAAATGTCAATAAATATTGATATTAAGCTAAAACGAGCTAGTAAAATATATCATGAAGGGGTATGGTTTTTTTACAGTTTACGATAATTATATTAAGGAACAGAAAATGCGGAGGTTATGTTTCAGGAGATAGTTGCTGGTTTTATACTGTTGCAAACTAATTCGGACGTTAAGCACGATGGAATATTCCTAAGTATGGAAGGTTCAGTCAATTTACAACTTAGTTCGAAAAATTTTGGCATTTTCGAAGCTTTTTATAATTCTGTAAAGGTTAGTTTAATTTTTGGTTATTTTCATGGTAACTCACATAATTTCTTGTACATTACAGCATAACATACTTTTAGCCAATACAGTTAGTTCAATATACTTTAGAAGTTGCTCCAAATGGAAAAATACCAAGTGGCAGAACAGAAATATCATTTGAATTACCATTAAAGCCCAGAGGAACTAAGTCTTTGTATGGAACTTATCATGGGGTTTTTGTGAATATACAATATTTAATTCGTTGCGATATAAAAAGGAGTTTCTTAGCAAAGGATGTAAGCAAATCGCTTGAGTTCATAGTAGAAGACAAAGCACCTCCCAAAATAGAGAAAGAGCCCAGCAAAGTAGCATTATCTTTTAAAATCATGCCAGAATCTTTACAAAATGCAAGGGACAGAACTAATGTACCCAGATTTTGCATTTCAGGAAAATTAGATTCATTGTACTATAAAGTATCGGAACCCCTAACAGGAGAGGTAAATGTATAAATAAATACGTTTTGAAAATTTTGCTTTCATAACATATCAGCAAACTGTACAAATGTGAAACTTAATTTGTTACATATTAAATTTCACTTATTCGACCTAGTTGCAAATCTTTCTTAACGAAACAGTTCATAATTTAACAAAAATACATTTCCAAGGTAACAAACTATAAGAATGCAGTGCTGTTGATTTTACGAGCGTGAAGTTAATTTCATAGATATTTTCCACAATTTGTGGTTAACTATATGCTTTCCAAATTGGCAAGTAATTCATTTGGAAGTATTTACGCTCATGATTACTTGTTACTTCGAAAATATATCTTTATTAAATAATGAAATGTTTCGTTGTAAAAAGCTTTTAATGCGGTTGAAAAGGTTATGAAATTGAGTTGAGGTTAAAAGGTTATAAACATGAGTCTGTTACTTATACGAGCATTTTGTTAGCAAATGTTTACTAATAATATTAAATCTAAGGTGATAATTGAACATTGCGAAGCTGTGATAAAATCAATCGAACTGCAATTGGTAAGGGTAGAGACATGTGGTTGTGCAGAGGGATATTCTAGAGATGGTAAGATTCTAACAAAATCTTGCTTCTATATTTTGTTCGTCGTCTTATCGTTCTGTATTTATTTTAGCAACAGAAATACAAAATATACAAATTGGAGAGGGAAATCCTTGTACAAATTTGCCTATACCAATATATATGATATTCCCGAGGTTATTCACATGTCCCACGCTAAGTACAAGTAATTTTAAAGTTGGTAAGATCATCGTTTTAAATTTAGGTTATGAAACTTAAATCCATTTTGTTTTTTTGTATTTCTCCGTAAGAATTATATTTTATTAATTTTCGTTATAGAGTTCGAGGTAAATCTGATCGTTGTTTTTGAAGATGATTACTTAGTCACAGAAAATTTTCCCATTATACTGTCAAGATATTAAATTTTCTATGAATGTACAGTTTTTTATATAAATTATGTATATTATTTACAAATTGTATATATTTCTAATAATAAATGAAATTTTACGTTAAATTTTCGTAAAAAATGTATTAAAAAAGCAGGAGAGGGAGGAATTTTTTTTTCTTAATGTACAAATTGATAGATCAACAACTCATAACAATATAAAAAAACAGTTTACTCTAGCCCAACTTTTTGAGCAAATAATTTATAATACTTTTCCACTTGCTTATTATGCGTCAATCCCACGGATGCCAGTAATACAACATAACCAAGCACGAATGTTAATAATTTATGTTGTTTAAACCATGCTAATAATCCTTTATTATCAGTGCATCTGAAACATTGTACATTATTTATTTTACATTAAAAATTAACGTAAAACTTTTAAAGTAATTTATACCTTCTGGTTTGATCTTGTTGACTGTAAACAAGAAGATATCGCACTCGTACCAACTCGCTGTTCGTTACCAAATAATATTTATTTGGAAGTTTACTGTCTACCGAATTTTCAACCATATTGCGAGCGCTATTGTCTATAAAAAATTTCCAGTAAACACAATGACTTATCATTTATTTATAGTAATAATAAATTTCTTCGTAACATGTATTTACCCGAATCTCCTGTTTTCACATCAACATGATTGATAAGTTCACACAAAGCTATGCAACTCATTTCACTTCCAAGTATACTGCCTCCCCATCCATAGCCCACAGGGCTATATGGTAAGCTTACACTTAATTTACTTGAAAGATATATTCCTTTACCAAATAATGATTCCTAAAAGATGTATCAATAACTCAATGTATTAAGACGTATCGCTACGGTTTGTTTTATACTTCGAATGCATAATTAGCAGTTTACCTTGCACATAGTCTGTTGTAGGCCATAGTGTATAATAGAGTGAAAATTCTCTAAACGACTACCATGATAAGCATAAAAGGTTGTATGGCCCTGAGCAATTGTTTTCCATTTGTTTTCTGAAGTAGATTGCTTTGCATATGCCACTTGGAATATTAAATTTGGTGGAACTACAGATACATCCAAAGGTACTTTCCTCAATATAGAATCATACTGCATTAGAAACGTATGAAGTTTCAAATTGTTGATTATAAAATTAAAAAATCTTTAACAAACAGTTTAAATTTAAAATCAAAATCAAAATCTGTTGAAAGTAGCCGTATATATAAAATTACGGGATGGAATAAATGTAATTATTTTCTCTAGTGATTATATAATTATTAATAAAAAAAACTTACGCATTCCTTGTTAATACTTTTTATATAGGGATCCCTCAGACGTATTAGAACCCAATATAATAGATCTATAGCAGCTCCGTAACGTTCATATGCATCTGGTTCTTGCAGTGCTTTAAATATTACAGCCAATGGGGGAATTAATTCTATAGCTTTTCTCTATAATTCAATTTTAATGGTTAGCAAGCATTTAGATTATTATGCATAAAGACAATAGAAATGTTGAGACCAATATTTAATAAACTCTACCAAAGCTTCAATGTCCTTGCATTCATTTTTTATATACATCGGTGGAAAGGGTTTTAAACAAGAATCATAGCGATACGTGTTACAAGCTGTCACAAACAATGACCATTTTAAATCAACTGCTTTCAAATCCTTCTCCAGTAAGTGTTTCAGCGTTGAAATCTTCTTTCCTACATCTTCTTGTTGATTTATAGGATCTAAAAGACTTGTGTATAATATGTCTAAATCCGATTTTTTAGGAATTTTATTGTTCAGAATGTTTGTATGATCTTTTTCTTTCTCTTTATCATTATGAATATATTGTTTCTTGCTTGTATTATCCATTATTATTGTTGAATTAATTCTAAATTTAAATCATAAACAGATACAACTGATGTTATTTAATTATATGTCTTGTGTGAAAACTTCATAGTAGTTTTATCACAAAACAAGTTTGTTCATTGAATTATCAATTTTTTTTTATCACGATTGATAAACCACTTTGCAGGAACTTCCCACTACTATGTATGAAATGTTACGATAGGAAAATAAATGAAGGAAAGGGAGGAAAAGTTTATAAAATAACAAATCAGTAAACGATCTGGTGTCATTTGTGTTTTACAACACGCCGTATAAGCGATTACATACATCAGAGTAATTTCTTCGGTGTACCATAATCCTTATCAGTGATGCAACTTTAAGATAACGAAATGTGAGATATAGTTAGAGATTTGCAATTTCGGTAGGAATATTTATATTTTAACAGTTTCGTAATACTTGTGCACTTTTATTCGATACAATACGAAATTCATATTTGGAAATAAGGAGGTTGAAAAGGGGTTAATTACATTTTAATGTACATTTCTTTAACAACTCGCTGTCGATTTTGTACTTTAATAAATGCTTAAATCAATAAATCATATAACAATTGCATTTAAATACAATTTCTCTATGATTAACGTAAAGTGTCCTTTGAATTAAGGAATAAATTATTCTTAATTGCGTACTTGGGGCCATATCCAAGAAATTTTGGTGTTCAAATTAGTTGTAACGTACTTACAATCCACGGTGGGCATATTCGGAATCTTAAATTTCACGGTGATTGTAAATAAAAAATAGCCGATTGGTTATAATTGTATATTTAATCTTGCGTTACAACGAATTTGTAATGATATCGTGAACATTGTCCAGATGTTTCGCAACTCCTGTCACAGATCACATCTGTTTTGGGTTGTTCGTTTGTTACAGCGATGTTTTTCTCTTTTTGAGTAATATCGTGGTACAGTCAAATTGGACGATTAAGAAATTTCATTTTAAAGCTAATCGTGATGTATTACGGCAAAAGTTATTAACAAAATAAAAAAGTTAAGAATTGTACATTAATATTTGTTTATCCGAATATACACCCTATGATTGGATTCATATCGTACGAGAGAATATAAAGTCTTGCAGCCTCAGTTGCAAAATAGTTAATAAAGTATTACTATTATTTTGTACGCTGTCGTGTGTAGGCTACACGCATTAGAATTTATTTACAAAATGCAGTTACAAATTTGTAATAAATAAAAGTTTAATTTTTGGATTGGCGAAATAGTATAGTCGTCTAGTGATGAATGGACTGAACTATTTTAAAACTAGTTCGTTACCAAGCCACGAGTCATGAACAGTAGCGGATAAATACTTTTTGTTGTGTAATTTCGGTATACAATATAATATATATTATTTTAATTAATTAATCTATAGAGGAAAGGATGATACATATGTAATTATAATAAACCGTTGCAACAAACATATATTTTTAACATTAAACAAAATTAAATGTCAAAAATGACTCAAGATCGGTTGTTTGAGGGTTAATTGTTTTGGAACCTTTCTTGTGCCACTACCTGCGTTCCAAATTACCTAGTGCTTTTCTTATTGGTTCGCAGACCTAACCCAAGCCTAAACAAGGGTGGGAGTTTCTTGGTCTCGTAATTTCTGTTTGTCACTATTGTAATTACAGTCGGAACTTGTGGACCTGTCGTTGTTGCTACGGAAGTTTAAAATGGTTCGAATGAAATGCTACAATCTGCAATTCTTTTTGTAACATCGAAACATGGTAAACACTGCAAAGATATTTGGATACCCTGCGGAAGCATTGCAAAAGAAGTATTTAACCTTGAGATGGGTGAGTGATCAATTATATCTTCTAATTATTCTTCCAAAATGTTGGATCATTAGACAAACGATCTGGACAGTGTACAAAATTGATAAGAAATTGACAAATTTATAAGTGCTACATAAATTGCTTATATGCATTTAGTGATGATCAATTAATTCGTTTTTATAATCCAATTCTCTGAACGGCAATAGCATGCATGTCAAAATTAAAATAGAGTCTTTAACATTCTTTTATCCAGTGGGTTATTGAGCGTCGAAGCCCGTAAAATTTAAATGCCTAAGAGAACCCGTCGCTCCGGCCGGCATCCACAGACACGCAGTTATTCGAAGTTTGGGCCCCGCCAATCGAAATCGACACTTCCGCCGCCAACCTGCAACGCAGCGTTGCCGCAAAAGAAGCGATGCCGCCCCCGTGGTGGCTCATCACAATGGAGGTGCCACCCCAACGCCCTGACCTCGCCAATATCCCCGAGGGCGATCGACGGCGACATCGCTACGTGGAATACCTTCGCCAGATCGGCACGCCACCCGCGGAGGAATAAGAAACCAAGTAAGTCTAGGGAAATCCTTTCTCACAAACGTCGACGGATTTCGAACGTAACAGCGTCATTTAGCGGCAAAACAGGAATTGTTTCTCTACAAACTTGAACGTTTTGCCGTTGAAGCCGCTGTCTGTAATACAAAATTAACTTTCGGTCCCGTTGCCGCTAGATGGCTAGTCTATTTCGCAACCTATTTCATCAGTAAATAAACAATTAATCCAAGGATTAAACTATTATTTATTGAATATATATCATAGCATTTTGAGTGTAAATTCGAGAAACGAGTTGCTACGAAATAAACACGATATTTTATCAATAGTTTTACGGTACGAGACTCGGTGACTTTCTTTTCAGCACGACTCATAGTGTTCCCTATTATATTCGTTCTATAGAAATTGTTGAGAATCACATTTGCATTTGATCATCGTGATGACGCGACAGGTTCGGTTGGCAATGCATAAATTAACGGAACAGGCGCGTACTCCCTATAGAACTGGTCTATAGGGAATTTAATCGGTACGATTGGCGGGTGTGTGACTCAATGTCATGCTTCAAGGTAAACTATCGATGACGTCAGTGTACGTCACTTAACAAGTGGGAGTGGATGGATAGATGTCGGCAGCCGTGCTGGCTCTCGCGAATAATCGCACACGAAATTCGCAACGGACGATACCGCGTCGTCGCGATAATGTCGCGTGTTTCTTAGCGATGTAGTTCTTTCGCCGATGAAACAAATATAAAAAGAGACGTAAAAAAAACAAACGACAACGCACACGTGTTTCCGCGGTAAATGGAAAAACACCGAAATCGGTCTGCGCATGCCCGACAACCGATGACGTCACGAAAATTGTGCTTTTGATCAAACTCGCTCTCTCGCAGTTTTTTTTTCACCGTGGACGTAATAATGTGGAGAGTGAAATAATTATTCGGGAAAGCTCTGTAGGAGCCGCAGACAAGCCGGTGAAAATTGTAAGTAAATTTCATTCTACTCTCACCGTTTCCGAAGTCATCCGTTGACTTACAGTCTGTTAACATGGCCTTCACACACATGTACACTAGCGCGCGCACACCTATGCACGGCGTACACACGCGCGCACACATGCTAAGCGTTGACGATTTTTCAAGAAAAAAAGCTCATTCCTAGCGATGTTTTAATCGTCGAGGGTTTCGAGGCACTCGCGAATAAAACAGCGAGCATCTTCGATATCGAGCATACACGACGAACGAGATGAGCCCTTTTCGTTGTGAGATATATTGATCTTCTTCCAAAGGAATGATTGAAAATGACAGGTCCTGTTTTCATTCGAACATAATTCCCAGACAGTTTTCTTTTTCTCGTTTTCGTTTCGTAGTTAGACGATCCTTGAACTTATCGCGTATTCTTCTTCTATTAATCTCGTTTCGTTTGTTATGATAGTAATTCTCAGAAGATTATTGTTTGCGAGTGTTTGTTATTCAAGTTAACAACGTCAAGAGGAAATATCAATAAATGACAGAGTTTTCAAGGTATACGTAAATTCTGTATTAAAATGTTCACCAAGTAACTTTTCTTAGATACAAGAATTTTTTGAAAAACAAGCTTACTTTGTGAGATTAACTAGTAAACAGAACAAATCTTACCTCAAAGCTGTGCATACATTATCAAAATATTACTATAACCTTTATTGAAACATTATCAAATAATGTTATACTCTTGTTCTGCAACTTTTTCAATGCTTTTGTGTTTTGTTGAAATTTAAACAAAAAAATTTACATTCTGAGAAATCAGATAAATATTATTTTCATTAGAATTTTGTGTAAGCGTATCTTAAAATATTACTTTGATATATTTTTGACATTATTCGCTTGCTAGTGATTAAACAAAATATGTGGCTTGTTGTACTTGTATCGTGCGTGCTGTAATTAATTTAGACATTTTATGAAGTTAAAAAGTCTCCATACCTTGTTTGTTTATCTTGTGTTACAAAGTTGTTGGATAAATATTTTTTACCTTTCGCTAAGGTTTACAAGCTTATAGGTATATCCATTCGATCAAGTCCAAAGTATCGCTTGAATTTTAAAGCATCAAAATATTGTTACTATTTAATACTTGGTAATTGAGACTTTTTATGTATATTCATTGTGTAGATATTGTCGGGTAATTAACATTAATCAGTGTAATAACATTTACCATTTTGAGTTACTAAACTAGGTTTTTAATTATAATATATGCTTGAATTAATGTTTTGTATACATTCAAAGCTGATATGTTTTTATATCAAATATATTTATGTTGAAATTACGTAGATTGCGAAAAATTGCAATGCAAGAATGCTTGTTGCAAATGTGTTAACAAAAAACATTGAAAACTGAAAACTATTCTTTTATTGAAGAAATTTTGCAAATTGCAAGATGCTGCCACCTGCATACATAAGTGCAGACTGCCCCATGCTATATCGGTAAAGAAGAAATCACGATGTAATGTTACAAATATTCTGCACTATTTTTTAAATTACATACACTTAACTTGCACGATTAACTACATTACAGATAACTAGTGACATTTTACAGTTCATCAGAGCCGCTGATAGTACTTTGCACTCACCGTTGATACATGAAATAGTACATAAAGTTTTACATTTTTGGGTATCTTTTTTGAAAATAAGAAAAAACCACGTTACATTTATTTGAAATATTCATTTATTAGGAGGTAATAGCGTTAGATTTTTTATTATATCAAACGAAAAAATCTAGTTCTGGATAGATGATGAATAGAAATTTTATGAACGCACTATCGATTGATACATATCGGATCTACCAAAGAAAATATTCCTCGACTTCCAAAAATTTTTTTGAAACGATAAACACGTAACCAGTAAATCAAAATATTTATAAATGCAGGTTAGGTTAATTTCGCGGTCTAGGTACTGCAGTA